AAGTAGCCATCAGAACAAAATAGAGAAGTGGTTAAAAGTGGCTGTGTTTAGGGGCGGGCCTAGAAACGGGGATGGAAAATACTGCTTCCCATTATATGCTCTGCTAAAATGTATGTGTTATTGACATGGTAATGTAGTACTCTAATTTGTTTAACCTCTACCATTACACACAGAAAAGGGAAAAAAAGGAAAAACTGTAATAACGATGATGCTAGTCACAATAACAACGAAAATGCATAAAGTACTGAAAAATAAACTTAAGATGTGTAACAGCTATATAAGAAACCATGTAACTTAAAGATATAAGAGAAAACACAAATAGAGAGAAAACCAAGTTCTTGAAAGGAAAAGCAACAAAAGCATGTGACAAGGAGTGTGTGTATTTGGAAGGGTTGACTATCCATGACCGATAAGGGTGGTTTGAATTTTGGAGTAGATAAATTACAGAAGTAAATGTTATTATTCTCTAATTTTACTTTTTAAAAAACCATTGTAGACCATAGTTTAAATAAAGTTTTAAGTTAAATTATAACAGCTAGACACTGCAAAACCAAGGTATTATAATAGAAAAGGCAAGAAAAACTAACCAATTATAGCATAAATGCTACAATTTCCTAAATGTAAGTACCAGTTTTATGGCCATCAAAAAAACAAAACAAAACAAATAAAAACCAGAAAGTCAACAAATGTAGATTTCTTACATTATACCTAAAATGTTAAACTAAGAACACAAAGTACCTATGAGCTTTTTTCACTATGAAATGAGGTAATGGATTTCTTTCTTTTCACTGCTATTTCTAACAGCAAAAGCAAATAGTTTCAACAAAATGAAAATCTTGAGTGAAACTCAAATAATTTAAGTGTATAAGGGGACACATTAAATAGGATTAGAAATGGAAAAATATAATTATAAAATTTTATCTTGCTTTCTCCAGTTCCATGTAGAAGGAAAAAAAATAATGCCAAATGAAATGAAATATGGTAGTGTGACTTACAAGGTGTACACAGTGTTTAGGAATGTTCCATTCTTTAAAAAACATTATCCAGGTAGGCAAACGTGAAAGAAAATTCTTGAAATGTTATAAAATATTTGCAAGCATTTCATCAATTAAATTCAAATAATTTTTAAAGCATGAACTTAGATAATCGTAAAATAACTATTCTAACATGAGGCACAGTTATACTATGAACACGTCAGCGTTCCAGAATTTAAGACCTAAGACTGAACTGCAGTTCTGCCACTCATTAGCTGAGTTCCTTTGGGAGGTTTCTAACCTTTCTAAGACACAGTTTCCTCATCTCTAAAATGGGAACAGAAATTCTTAGCATAGAGAATGGAAATGCCTCTATCGAAACACTTTACAGTTCTGACAAGAGAGCCCATTAGGAAAGAAACAGACCGGACCCCTCCTTGTAAACACACTGCAATCGCCAATATCTTGTACACTTGGAAGTTACATTCAAATTACATCACAAATCATAGTCATTTCATCCCACAGCTGAAAAATATTTACAAAGTCAGCTCAAACTCTGCGTGAGAAGCTGCATGCTATAATAAAAAGGCGGAGGTTGGGAGGCCAGCAACCTCATCAGCTGTGTGACCTGGAGCAAGTTACTCAGTTTTCTCACCTATAAAATAATGACGCTCACATCTAATTAGGAGAACTGCTGTGAATACTAAGGGAGATATGCATAAAACATGTTGTTTTAAACTCTTATTTACCACTCACCAGGTACTATGTCAAGCCTTGTTATATTACGTATATGACACAAAGTTAGATCAGAACCCAGGCATTATCCTAATCTTCTTCAAAACATACCTAAAACATAACTCATACTAAAAATAGACCAGGTAGCTGGAGTGATACTCTCAGGCTGTTTTTTCTCTACAGAAATTACCAGTTTCTCCATTAATTTCTTTCACTGAAAAACTGACTCCTTACTACATATTTCATGCTATTTTTGAAATGCAATAAGATCATTCAACAAATATTTACTATCTTCTCTATACTGCACACTCTTCAAAATTCTGGGGGAATACAGTAATGAACAAAATTCACAAAACTCCCCTGCCCTCATGGAACTCCAAGGAATCATCCAAGGGCCACCATGCAGGGCAGTAAATGTGGTCATCACATCCCAAGTACAGCATCATCCAAGAACCTAGAACGTGCTCCAATTAGTACAACTAACTAGTTGTGGTCGTGACAAAGAAAAAAAATCCTATATGAACAATGAGTTGTCAAAAGTGGAACAAAGTTCCAAATTGTTAGCCTTCCTATTGTGGAAAAGAGCAACAATTCTTATCAGACAAGATGACCCTGCCTTCCCTGCCTGCATTCCCCACAAGGTCAACCCACATCCAAAATAATTCCAAACGAAAAATGGTATTTTCATTATTCCTAAAGGAAAGCACTTATTTTTACCCCAGACAGTATTAAGCCTAAGTTTTTTGAATCATTTCTTAAATAGATTTTTGATATCAGAAGCTTATAACAATAATGAAAGAAACGTGAAATTTTAAATATACAACCTAAAATAACTTTACTTATAGTCTACATCAGAAAAATATATACTACTCTCAACAATTAAACACACCATGCTGTATCAGTAATAATTTTAAACATAAATATCCTTGCACTGTCAAAGAGGCATATAATTTTCATCTGGGCATATTCTTTGATTACCTGTTTTTATCAAAAGCTTATTTAGAGAGTGAAAGAGCAGAGGGAGATTTCTAATTTGTTTTCAGTCTAATAAATCATCAGTTGTTCTGATAAACATTAAAGAAAACATTAGGGTTACATTATAATATATGCTCTAGGAAAAAAGTGCTCTCATACTATTTATTCTGAACTACAGCATAAAATATGCTTAATTTACAATGACAGAGCCAGGCCCCATTATGGAAACCTGGTGATACTAACCATGAAACTTGGCTTAAGAGAGGCCTCTAGTGGTTATAGGTAATTACTTAGCTCCCCTTCCTGCCCCCACACTCTGGTAATGCTCTTGTTCTCATTCATTTCCCCTGTTCCCTCCCCTCTACCTCACGGGTTAAAAGCTTCAAGCAAAAGAGCTAGTATTCAACTAGTGAATTATTCAATCAGGTCCAAGTTGACTAAAAAAAAATGTATGTAACTGGGACTACTAAGCCATTATAGATTCTCTAAAGGCAAATTCTCCAACCTCCCCCACAAAACCAGTTTAGAGCCATTCCGTACAAAGTACAGACCCTAAATGTTAACCTTGCAAGTGTTAGTACTATCTTACTAAAAATGAAATCTAAGGTAATCTAAGTCGATCTTGTGGAAATAAAAACAAACCTAAAGGCTACAAAATTATAATTAGAGTCATAAAATAGAACCCATATGTTTTTATGTTTATCTTCAATGGTACTTTGGGTCTTCTACATCTCTTCTGCCCTATTCACAAATACACTAACACCAGGTGCAAAAGAGAGAGTAAGCAAACTTGGTTCTTTATATATAAATGATTAGCCACACCCAGATGACCAAGGTTTAACTTCTTCCCAGTTCCACTCCTACAATATCCCTTTCCTTTTTTATTGAAGGACTCTGCCCCCGGAACCTTCCCACCTCCACCCCACCTGCCAGCCTTAGAACCTGCCCTACCTTTATCCAGGGTCCCAGTGAAGTCTTTTGAAGAATGGAAACGGCTGGAGTAAAGGGACAGAAGAGGACGCTAAATGCTCCATCCCAACTGCAGTCACCTCCTCGTGCCACAGCGAACCTACTTCCGACTTCTGTCCCACGTTGTAATGCCACGGAGGCCTTGTCATGCTCCTAGGATACCCCCAAAATACTGAGACTATAGGTGCCCCAACTTGTAGCCATGCAACAACCATTTGCATCCATGGGCACATCATCAACTTTTGCCACATAATTCAGGTAGAAAAGGGAAAAGAGAGGGAAAGCAAGAGGGAGGTAGAGAGGAAGTTTCTTTCTGTATCACTTCCAAACTTTGTTAAGAATTTAAAAGGTAACAACCCACCTCCTGAGTACCTCAAAAAAAGCAGATGACTTTGGGGGAGAAGGGAGAGGCTTTGAGACAGTATCTCGTACCAGTATGTTTGAACAGAGAAAACCCCTGATCAGAAGCAGTGAATACTAGCTGTGAGGGATGTTAAAAGTCACAGGTCACTCCTGGGATCGGTAGGAAGACCAAAGGGAATGGGGCCCAGGCTGACCTCTTGCAGCTCTGAAGTCCACGACAATGACCCACCTGGCAAAACAGGCAACGAAGTAAGAGGAGAAAGGTTCTCAAAAACCCAAATTAGTATCATAAGGTTTGAAGAGTAAAGCACGTGTTCTTGATTCATGAGAAATCATTACAGGCCTTCCCTGGCCAATACACATGTCTCAGTTACAAAGTCTGGTCATCTGGATCCCATGCACAGCTGGCAATAATGTGACAGCAAAAGATAAAAGAAAATTTAAATTTAGAGGCTTAAAACCATGAATTTAAGCACAGAAATATATCAATGAAGTAAACAACCATACACCTCAAAAAATGTAAATGTCTTAACACAGTGTAACAACCCATGTTCATTTGGACTGAATTATTTTTGAAAGGCAAAATTATATACATTATGTTTTCCTTGAGAAAAGTGAAAAGGTTTTGGAAATACTGACGTTCAAAAGGTTAAGAAGTTTTAAAAGCTGCTACCCAGAAATAGTAACTCTCATCTATGCAAAAAATTACCATAAGAACTCAATTCTCAGAAATTATAAGATAGCTAGCTAAGGTTTGCTGTAGTCACTTTCACTTTGCTTTTTAGGATAAATTGGTCCTAGTCTAATGAGAATTCAAATGATACTTTCTATATACCATTATGAAAAATGGACAACTGTTAAGAAAAATAAAACACAAGGTCAAACTAAAACTTAAGACTAGAATAAATGCTTCAGCTTAAAACAGATTTATTCATAAAGCAATATTCTAGAGTTACTTTTTAAACTTTTGTATAAGCACCAAAAATAAGAAAAAGTACCAAATTCAAAACATTCCAATTTTAAACAGTTTCATCATAAAACTTTCTTTTGCTGATAGTCATAATAATTGCATAGCAAATATCTCCTGAATACCAAACCTAAATCAGGCATTTTTTTCAGGTATTGAGAAGTCATCAATAAGCCAACAGACAAAAACCCCTACCCTCACAGAACTTACCTCCTAATGGGGGAAGAAAGATTGACAATATAAATAATAAAGTTATATAATATGTTAGATCACTTCACCTCTCTAGAAAAAAAGGAAGGAGGGGTAAAAGGGAGTCTTGGCAAGAGGGATGGTATCCAGTATTAAGTAAGTGGGTCAGAGGCCTTGAAGGAGAAAATGGTATTTGAGTGGTGACCTAACAGCCCCTTGGTTGAGAGTCAATGAAGAGCAGTTCCTGAAGGGTGGACGGTGGTGGGCTGTGGAAGGTGGCGAGACAAGGTAAATCCCTGTAGACCACGGTAAGAAATTTGACTTTTCCACTAAATTTCATGGGAAACTATTGAGACCTTTTGAGACCAGAAGGAACATGATGCGACTCGCATTTGAAAGGATCAATTCTGCCTATGGCACGGAAAGGGCAGAAGCGAGACAGTACTTCGAGGCTACAGCCAAAAGCCAGATGAGAAATGCTAGCAGTTGGGGCCAGGATCAAGAGTAACAGCATTAGAGCTGGTGGTCAGATTTTGGACATATCGCGTAGGCAAAGCCAGCAGGATCTGCTTTGGAATTGAATGTGGGCAGGCAGAAGATGAAAGAAAGAGAGAAATCAAAAAAGGCTCCAAGGTATAAAGGCAAACCCTTATTTATTTCAATAATTAGCAGAATTTAATTTCAAATAAAGTATAAGCATGTCAAAGCTCTGTGTCAATGCTCTCTATAAACATGTGGAAATCACCTACACCTTGTAAACTGTCATTTTTCTTTCCTTTTTGGCACTGTTGTATGTAGTTGATTTTAAGTTGAAGGACAGTATTATTCTTGAATCCTGAGTTTCTTTCAAAGACTGTCATTCTCCTGCCAAAATCAAGTTCTTCTTTTCCATAGGCAGCTTCTCTGAATTTCTACATATTAAAAAAAAAAAAAATCATTTCAAGTTGGACAGTACCTCAAGCCTAACTCTGTGCCTGGCCGCTGTTTTAACTTTGTAGCTCGTTTTTTAACTCACTTTGAATGTGGTCTGTATCTCAGCAGGGAAGTCTATTCAAGCCCTCAACACTTAGCCATGGTTCTTATTCTTGGGGAGCTTGAGAAGAACAGCACTACTTAGGCATATGGGTTTCTGGCTGAATGACCAAAAAACCTCCTCCAGGTCAGAGCACACCAAGGCTCTCTCTGTCTATAAAAAGGCTCACTACATTATAAATTCAAGGAAATAAATCAACGGCAGCACAGTGGTCTATCTCTACCCCAGTACAATACTGTAATGATGATAACCTTACAACACATCTTAATTATAACACATTGGATAACTAAGTCCTCCAGCTTTCTTCTTCAAGATTGCCTTGGCTATTCTTGGCCTTACAACTGATTAATAGGGTATGTGCTTCAGTTTGCTTGCATCTTCTCTAATTTCTGTGAATAACGTTTTGGGATTTTCTGCGTAGTTGTTACATACGCAGCATTCAATTTCACCCTAGATGTTTGATTTTTTTATGTCCTTTCAAATGTTATCAATTTATTTTCTATTTGTTGCTGGTATACAAAAATACAATTATTGTATATTGACCTTGTTTCCAGGGGCATCGGTAAACTCAATTCTAATGATTTGCCCATAGATTCCACTAGATCTTCCTACATATAAATCACGTTAGCTATGAGTAGTTTTACTTCTTTCTAATCCATATGATTTGTGTATCTCTTGCCCTTATGTAAGGGCATCCTTGTTATATTCTTGATCTCGACAGGAAAGCAGTCAAAATTTCAGTAGGAAATATAATTTCTGCTGCAGGGTTTTTATAGCTATTCATAACTACAAGATAAAGCTACTCTTTATCAGGCTAATAGAATTCCCTTCTATTTCTAGGTTACTAAGAAATTTTCATTATGAACGGATATTGACTTTTACCAAATGTTTTTCTGTATTATGAAGATCATCATGATTGTTTTTCCCATTTTCTGTTCATGTGGGAAATTGCATCAACCACTGTGTGAACGTTCGTGAATGTCAAACACCCCTTGCATATTTGAAATAAACCCTCACCTTTATCTTTTTATATATCGTTGGATTTAACTTTCCAATATTTTGATTTTTACATCTACGTTCATAAAATGTGTCTATAATTTTGCTTTATATATGGTCCAAAAGAGATTTGATATGAAGATTATGCCAGCCTTATACAAAGAATTTGGAAGTTTTCCCTCTTGTTCTATTTTCTGTAAGAATTTGCATAAGAACTGTGTTTTAAAGAATTCACCAGTAAAGCCCTATGGGTCTAGGGTTTTTTTCTTATATAAGCATTAATAAAAATGGATTCAGTTTGATATATGACTATTGAGGTTTTCTAATTTTTATTTTTGAAAACACTGTATTTCCTAGGAATCTGTCCATTTCACCCAAAACTTATTTGTAAAATCATTCAGGATATCCTCTTAGTATACAGTCTGTAGACTTAGCGATTTCCCCTTCTTCATACCTGATATTTGTCATTTGGGTTTGCCGTTTTTTTCCATTAGTCTTGCTAAAGGTTCATCAAGTACATTAGTCTCTTCAAAGATCTCATTTTAACTTAATTAAACTTCTCTATTATACATTCTGTTTCATTGATTTCTGCTCTTTATCACTACATTTATCCTATTTTCTCTAGATTTGATTTTCTTTCTGGAGATGGAAATTCAGATCACTAACTTTTTTTTTCTTATCCCTGTTTTCTAAATGTACATATTTACAGCCATACAGCTCTCTTCAAGCATGGCTTTACCTGAATCTTGAAATTTTTGATTTTAGTACCTTCATAACCCTTTAGTTCAGTATTTTTCTAATTTCTGTTGCAGTTTCTTTTACAATCTATGATTGAAATGTAAATTATTTAATTTGTAGGAAGTTGAAGACTTTCCAGTTTCTTCTCAATTTCTAACTGAATTCTACTATTGTCCAAACATACTCTAAATGACTTCAAATATCTGAAGTTTAAGATTATATTTATGTCCTAGTATTTGGTCAATTTTGATAAATGTTCCATATTCAACTGAACTAGGCATATTGTGGCATTTCATAATGTATATAAATATCAAATCACTACATTATATACCGGAATCTAATACTGTATGTCAATCATTCTTCAGCGAAAAAAAAAATGATTTCTTATATAGTTGAGTACACAATTAGGACAAGTTTGCTAACTGTTCGGATCTTCTATATACTCACTGATATTACCTGCTTGTTTGATCAGTTTTTAAGAGGGGTGTCAAGGTCTCCTACTATGATCGTGGATATGTTTATATCTCCTTTTAGTTTTGTATCTTGTTTTGCTTTATGTATTTTGAAATTATGCTATCGATGACATAATAGATTTAAGACTGTGATATCTTCAGGGAGCCTGAGTGCTCAGTTGGTTAAGCGTCTGCCTTCAGCTCAGGTCATGATCTCAGGGTCCTGGGATCGAACCCCGCATCGGGCTCCCTGCTCAGCGGAGAGCCTGCTTCTCCCTCTCCCACTCCCCCTGCTTGTGTTCCCTCTCTTGCTCTCTCCCTCTCTGTCAAATAAATAAATAAAATCTTAAAAAAAAAAAAAAGACTGTTATATCTTCATAGCAGATTGATTCCTTCAGCATTATGAACTGTTCTTTGTTTCTAGTAATGCTTCTTGCCTTAAAAGCTTTATTTGAAATTAGTATGGCTACACCAGAGGTCTTTTTTCTTCATCCCTTTCACATTTTCTGTGTCCCTATATTTAAAGTCTCTCTCTCTTAAGCTGTACATTGCTGCTATTCTTTAAGGAAGTCTGACAATCATTGGCTTTTACTAGATTTAATTCATTTGTTTTTAATTACTTATATACTTAGGTTTATAGCTATCATCTATCTGTGTTCTACTGACACACCTGTTTTGCTTTGGGGTTTTTTTTGTTTTGTTTTGTTTTTACATATTTTCCTTTCTTTTAGTTTAACCAAATACTTCTATTAATCTATAGGTCCCTTTTTAACTTGCTGGATATATACTTTCACTATTATTTCAGTTGTTACAACATGCATCCCTAACTTACTATAATCTAGTAAAAATATTACATTTAAAATCCTAGAACAACAGAATATTTTAACTCCATGTAAGCCCATTCTGACTGTCTTCTAGGATCATTTTCCTTCTGCCTAAAGAACTGCCTTACAGTATTGCCTTTAGTGAAAATGTGTTGGTGATAAATTCTCTAAAATTCTATTTGCCTAAGATATTTTTTATTCGACCTTAACTTTAAGAGTATGTTTTCACTGGATAATGTTAGGTTGGTATCCTTAGCAATTTAAGATGTCATTCTAGTGTGTAGGTAGGTGCGGTTTTCTTTGAATACATCTTTAGAAGTTCACAAATCCTCAAGTATGATGATGTCCTGAAAGTTTAATGAGAAATATTCTTTTTTATTGTGTCTGACCAATTCATTCTTTCTTCTTCTGGAATTCCAATCATATGTGGGACAGATCTTTTGACCAGATCCCCAGTGTGTTTTATGCTCTCTTCTGTTTTAGTCTATTTTATTTCCCCCCTCTCTGTGCTTCAGTTTGGACATTTTCTATATACTTGCCTTTTAGTTCATGAAAACTATTATCTACTAAGTCCAATAAGTTTGTAAACACATCCACTGAGTTCTTATTGACAAATATTTCTTTGGTTCTACAATGGTCTCTCTCTCTCTCTCTCTTTCTCATACATACACACACACACAGCCACACACACACACCTCCAGGGTAATTCTCCACTTCCTTACCTCTTTTGTTCTTTTTCTTCCTCCTATATTCCTAAACATAATAAAGTCTTTGTCTGCTAACTCCAATGACTGGATCACCTGTGTTTCTGCTTTCTATTGTTTGTGTTTTCTCTTGGTTTTGAATCAAATGGTCCTGTCTCTTCATATACTTAGTAATTTTTTACTGAATGCTGATTCACTGAGGTTCCAGATGATGGGAGGACTGACTCCTTGTTGTGCTGGGCAGACAGAAAAGAAGGTAAGTTATATTAATCCAGTAAGGAACTGAGAGGGAGAGAGGCTGTGCTGTGGATTTGGAAAGCTTTAATCTACCTCTGGTAGCTCCTAAGACCCGACTCCCCAACTTTCAACTGAGAGTATGACTGGTCTTTGACACTTCAGTCTCAAGGGATGGCTTGGACTTTCAGGTATTTTCAGCTCCCACCACATACAATTTGGCATTTATCTTGAATGGGAGACCACCTGTGTGTTTAAGCAACCCCCCCCCCTCCAAGTTTCCTATTTTGTCACTACAACCCCATGAAACATGGATTCTATACGCCTGGGTTCTCAGTTTCTAGTTGAGACTTACTTGGCAGGTGCCCCCAAGTAAAAAGAGCCAATTTACTACTCACTTCAGAGCTTTCAACTCTCCTCGCTGATGTTCTTAAGCCACCCCAATTCCCAGGGTAGGTCTCTGTCTCCTAGGCACTTCAAAACTCAGGAATTTTTGTTCTACGTTTTAGAGGCTTCCAGCTTAGTTCTCCAATATCAGGTCCAGAATTGATGAACTATGGTTCTTAGACCCACTCAGGTCTCCAATTTTGTAGCTTCCCTGAGCAACATTCAAACACTCTGCTGCTCTCTGTCCCCAAGCAATTTTTCAGGATTATAACTTCCAAACAATGCTTCAAGGCTCAAGCAACAAGTGTGACTACGTTTTTTAAAACACAGTTAAATTCAGACTACATTAACCAATTCCTCAACTGTCCCAGAGTCATTTTACTATGCATAGTGTGCTAATGTCTATGTATGTTCAATAAGTATTTATTTTTTTACCTTTAATAGGCTTTTCTTGATTAGGTATTCCAAAAGATGCATTTGGGTGTTGAGCTTAACATGTCATGAAAAAAGCTGAGGGATCTAATTTTATCATAAAACAAAAAGAACCAATAAAACACAGCACTAACTGAAAAAGATAATAAACATAAATTTTGAAGGGCATTTGGGTGGCTCATTCGTTAAGCATCTGCCTTCAGCTCAGGTCATGATACCAGGGTCCTGGGATCGAGCCCCCCATTGGGCTCCCTGCTCAGCGGGAAGCCTGCTTCTCCCTTTCCCACTCCCCCTGCTTGTGTTCCCTCTCTCGCTGTCTCTCTCTCTCTGTCAAATAAATAAATAAAATCTTTTTAAAAAACACACACACACATAGATTTTGATTACTACAGAATTCATAAAGAAAAACTTGACTGTAGGGGCGCCTGGGTGGCTCAGTTGGTTAAGCGACTGCCTTCGGCTCAGATCATGATCCCAGGATCCTGGGATTGAGCCCCGCATCGGGCTCCCTGCTCAGCAGAAAGCCTGCTTCTCCCTTTCCCTCTGCCTGCCCCTCTGCCTACCTGTGCTCTCTGCCTCTCTGTCAAATAAATAAATAAAAAATGTTTAAAAAAAAAAGAAAAACTTGACTGTAGTTAAACAAAAAAAAAGAAGCCTCACTTTTACTGAGGTGTAGCTATAGGGTCCTCTTCTTTAAAGTCATCTCCAAATCCTAGAAAGATGTCACGTATCCAAACTTTTCTTTGACACATGAAAGGAAAATAGAAGATTACCATGGTCAACAATGAAGAGTCACAGAACCCAAAGTAATCAAGAAATGACAAGCTGGCTTTCACTACTGTAACTAGAGGATCATCAACTAGAAAAATAACATGATGAAAGCACCCCAACACAAGACTAAAAGGATGAGGCTAGCAAGTCAGAGGTTTGATGCATCACCTTTTCATTCAGGAGCAGTCTCTAGTGTCCTCTTTCATCCTTTCCAGTAGTAAAGAGCCCCAAGGAAATAGGATCCACAACCCAGGATCACACAAAGATGCAACCAGTAGATTTACTAAAGGGGAGAAGGGGCGTACCACACAAGCAAAGTTATGTAGAGATAAATATAAATAAATAATTTCTCCCTTCTTTCTTCCTCTCTCTTCACTTTACCTTCACAATTAACCTTGCAATGTTGTTGTATTTGTGTTTTACCATAAGCTGTTAGGATGTATAAAGTATATAAAACTGTAAATAAAATTTAAAACTACTTGCCCCGACCATTTAACAGTGCCCCCACTGCACCATAACAAAACATTATATCCCCACAGAAAAGCACCATTCACTTTATAAATACAAACCCCAAGAATAAATGGGGGATACAGTTGCAAAGAAGAAGCCCCCTCCACGACAAAGGCTCTCAGCTCTGGTTTAACCATAATTTGGACTATTTGGCTACTTGAAAGAAAACCCAGTGTCTGACTTGATTTGAAAAAGCCTGCAAGAAGCATTACTCTCATGCAGTTATGAACAGTTCAACCTAAAATACTGCTCTTATGATGGAAACTATAAATATAAAGACTTAGAATATCGTTGAAGCCATCCGTAACCATGTCAAGTGTTTAGATGATGTCAAGTGAGTCTACAGAACATTTCCTATAACAAATCTTAAGTCTTCCAATAAATTGTAAAACAATCTTTACCTAAATACCCTATGCTATATTTTTACAGCAGTAGGAGCTGCAGGTTATTTTCACATGACTAACCTAAGAAACAGCCTATAAAAGCTTTGAGAATACTACAGTTCTTAAAAAATAATATAAAATACCCTAGGTTTTAGGACTCACTTGCTATAACAGTAAATCAAGAAAAAGTAAGACATGCAACATTACCTAAACCTTAGTAGGTAAGACCATCACAAAAACAGAGCCTAATCTTCCTCATATACCACAATGGAAACAGATGAACTTTGGTTACCTCTACATTAATATGAAAGCTATCAGTTATAACCAAGTAAATGAGAACTGAACTATATTCCTGAGAGGGGACTATCAAGAGTTTGCTTAGATGGAAAACTACGAGCAGACAGAAGAATCCCACAACATAACATTCCAACTGTGATTCACAGTATGAAGACTATGTAGAGAGGGTTTTTGTTTTGTTTTGTTTTTTGCTTTGTTTTGTTTTTTAAATAATCCATCTCCATCTCTTTTGGAGAGGAGACAAATGAAAATTCAGCCAAACCATTTAGTTGACTCTATCAAACCTTGCTTATCGAACCATAACCCATAAGTTGTTAAAAACACAGGTGACCTCAACAACCTGATATGCTTTCATTTGCACTACTCCATTACTTCCACAGCTCAACCCAAGCTGGCTGCATGAAAGACACAGTTCTGTAATATTGTAAACAAAGAACTATGGGAGGGAAAAACCTCAAGGGGTTGGTTTGCTTGAGCATTAAGCTGATTATATAACATATATTTCTGTGATGGTGTAAATTTTAAAGTTTTCAATCAGTTGAAAATGCTCATAAAACTCAAAATTTCAAAACAATTCTTTGCAAATTGCCAACAAATCTGGCCCACAGATTTAAGGAAATGACATTCTTTCAACACTATATTCATACCTTGCAAACCGTATCCATGTCCCAAGGTAGTATAGTCCTCAGATCAATGACTTCACAAGACACTCCAAGCTTCTCTTGAGCCATGGAAGCCACCTCTCGGATCACATGAACCTGAAATGAAAATAGCAGAGAATAACTACAGAGATTCAGACCCAAAAAGTCAGCTGAATTCTGACATCATTAATAGAAACAGTGTTTACAGTCAGGGGAACTTATTTGCAATGGAGAATTAAATTTGTTTTAGATATGTTGACCCCAATTCCCCCAAAGTAATCAAACACAGAGGTCTAGAAAATAGTTGGAAAGATGTCCTTAATTTCAGGAAGGGAAAGCAGTCATTGATAGAGACACTGATTCTAAAGATATCAGCACACAGAAAGTAAAGTCAGAGGAGTAGGTTAAGTTTCTAGAGAAAGCATGTGGAGGGAGAAATAAAGGGCAGAACTTACGGGACCCTGCAGAGGACCAACATTTAAGGAGAAAATGGAGAAGAAGGAAAAGAAGAAGAAGGAGAAGAAGGAAAAGAAGAAGAAGGAGAAGAAGAAGGAAAAGAAGGAGAAGAAGAAGAAGAAGGAGAAAAGGAAGAAGAAGGAGAAGGAGAAGGAGGAGGAGGAGGAGGAGGAGAAGGAAAAGAAGGAGGAGAAGAAGAAGAAGGAGAAAAGGAAGAAGAAGGAGAAGAAGGAGAAGGAGAAGAAGAAGGAGGAGAAGGAGGAGGAGGAGGAGGAGGAGGAGGAGAGGAAAAAGAAGGAGAAGAGGAAGTGGAAGAAGAAGAGGAAAAGGAAGCAGCGCCTGGATGGCTCAGTCAGTTAAGCAAACAACCCTTGATTTGAGCTCAGGTCATGACCTCAGGGTCATGAGATTGAGCCCTGAGTCAGGCTCTACACCCAGCATCCAGCCTAAGATTCTCTCACTTTCCCTCTGCTCTTCCCCACCATTCATGCTTTCTCAAAAGAGGGAGGGAGGGAGGGAGGGAAGGAAGGAGGGAGGGAGGGAGGGAGGGAGGGAGGGAGGAAGATCAACCAGGAGACAATGTATGCCAGAAACTAAAGAAGAAAGAGTTTCACAGAAACGGCAGCCAGCATCATACACCGTGGCAATATGGGGTAAGGGTTGGATTTAAAAATTAGAAAATTAGGAATGTTAACAAGAATAGTTTTAGTAAATTAGTGGGGACAAATCTCATAAGGTACAAGAATATAAGGAAGTTAAGGAATTAAATACAGGTAGTAGAAAACGTTGTTCAAGTTTAGTGATAAAAGAAAGGACAAAATATACTGGTATTTCAGGGAAAAGTAGGGTAGAGAAAAGGTTATTTTTTATATAGGGAAGAAATATACACCTTTTTAATGAAAGGGACATTGAAAGGAGAAACTGAAGATGCAGAAGAGGGAAGGGACCAGCTGGTACATTACAGCCCTGGAAAAGGCAAAATGGAATATAATCTGAAAGAGTTGTAGAGGTAGCTATGAAAACCAGACACCTCTTCTTTTGAGGATAAAAGAGAAAGAGGAGTAAAGGACTGGCAGCAAACATGGTAGGTGGGAGGAAAGAGCAAGTTATAGGACATAGTATCTAATACACTACTCCCCTATCACAAAGAGAGGCAAGGATGCCCGCTTAGCGACAGGGATACAGATAAAAGATTTTCCCACTGGAGGTAAAAAACCATGAGGACTAGCTCTCCAAGCCAAAAATCAAGTGGAGAAGAAAGTCAGAGGGTGTAGTATTACAAATGACTTATTTTCTTCATTTACTGCTATACAAGTTTTCTAAAATAAGTACTTCCTTCACACAGAAAAATGAAAATTGGACCATTTCTTTAGAAGAAGGAGATAGAGATAGAAGTCTATGGCCAAAGGAAAAAAAAAAAGTCCCAAGCTTAAAAGTCTGGAGGGAGGACAATGTGACAATGAGCACTGGGGAAACTGAGGGAGATCGGTATTGAGGTTCGCTGGAACAGAGGAAGGTATGGAATTCTGAGGCTGGACTCCTGGATGGTCCACATGACCAGCAAAGTAATCACAAGAGATGGCAGCAGATGTGATGAAAACGATAGGAAGTCAAGCACAGAAACAAGTATGAGGATGTATAATGCATGCTTCAAAAGAGACAGTTTCTCAAGTACATTTTTATATAATGGCTTCACCACATGCATATATATTTTAATATGACTGAACGGGCACCTCACCCTCAACCAGAAGTCAGTACCAGATATAGATGTAGCACTAACAAGACTTAAAATTTGACATATAAGAAAAACAACACTTTGGATTTTTATAGTATCAGGATAAAAAAATGAGAGCTTCCAAGCACAATAGGGACATTATTGGTTCTTAGAAATGTTACTGACCTGAGTGCCCCAGGCAACTAGAGTCACGTCACTCCCTTCCTGAATGACTTCAGCCTGGGACAGGGGAATGTTGTATGGTTCTACAGGAACCTGTTCAACTGAATATAGAACAGGGAAAAAAATAAAAATTTATTTTTTCTCATGTGGCGCTTATGCACAAGACAATATAAGCATTTCACTGTGGCAAAGCTTTCTTTTATTCTTCTCCCCAAATTCCATAAGTTACTTAAAACAGAAATAGCATTTATTATATGGCTCTATGACATTACTACACATATGAAAAAGTCCCATGTAAATGAAGAAAATGTATCAGCTACCCTGGCACAGAAAAAGGACTTTGGGTAAAAACTAAGAAAATGCTACAGTAAGGGCTTTGGTCGACAATGTGACACACTGGTTCATTAACTGAAACAAATATGCCATACTAATATGTTAGTAATATAGAAAACTGGGTGCAGGGTATATGGGAACTCTCCTGTACTATCCTCACACTTTTTCTGTGAATCTAAAACTGTTCTGAAAAAATAAAGTTAGAAATATTTAATGTGTTTCCGCTAAAACTTGATCAGACTGAATTAAGTTCTCAGACAAGTTGTTGATCAAGAAGCCAACTTATGGTGACTTGAAAAACAAAACACATAGAGCAGAGCCAAATTTTTATGTATATTTTATTTTTACCCCTTGCATCTACGGACACTTCATCAACTACGGCAGCTCGTAACACCTTAAATTTCAAAGCTGAATCCTTTATACCTCAAGAAGATACACTAAATCAGCTCCACCAGGCCAAAAGGAAGAATAAGCCACTGGTATCCCAGAGAAGACTATTTCATGATTATTTCTGCCCAATCGAGTACAAGCAATAAAAAGTTGACTGAATTCAAGGGGAAATCATAAGGTGAATTTTAAAATGAAATTGTAGGAAGTTGCTGGAATTGCCCCATTATGCTGGGAAGCCTTCTTGAATGCCCATTTGAGAGCAGTAATATGGTAGAAGCAGTGGGGGGAAGAAATCAATCCTTTTTGTTCACTTTCCCTATAATCTTTTATCATTGTTGTATGGATTTTTTTTTTTTTATTCAAAGAGCAAAGAAGGACAAACTAAAAGGTTCCCTCTCTGCCCCAGTGAGTTCTCTCAACTCCACGGCCCAGAGTCATCAATACCAACAACTTCCTGCATGTCTGCAGGGGACAGCTTTCATGCTTTCTGTCATCCAGGCTTCTTAATCTTCTTTCTAAATTAGGGAAATGTCCCATCTGATGAGGCAGGGCCCTTTGTCCACAACAGAAGTAAGGTCCACATCTGTACTTTCCCAGCTTCCCTTGCAGCTAGGGCCCTAAAATGTGGGCTCTGCTGATCAAAGGCACCCAGGCCACACTCTGAAATGGATGCTGAGGGCAAGAAGAGCAGCAGGGACCCAGAATCCATCCTACAGTACTGGTAACAGTGGAGGCAGATCCAGCTTTCAGGCTCAGGGGTGTCAATGATTCAGACTGTAGTTCCATGTCCACTGATAGCTGCCACAGTATCTTTGTAAAACCAGTTACGTGGAATTTTGGGTACTGTTTCTAGACATATGGCCTCTAAGCCTGGTTCTTAGGCACTCCAAAGATTTCTGAGCTGTTCACTATCCTTCAATACATCTTTTCAGCTTATATTGGCCAGAGCTGGATTTCTGCTTGAAAATTAAGAACCCTGACTGATTTAGTGTCTTTTCAGATGTTTATAATATTCAAGTATGCACACTCATAAACATATGTGAATCTTTTTTTCCACATAGAGAATCACCTTGTACACCCTGTTCAGAAGGTCTTCTATCATCTCCCCTTTTCTCACTCGGCAATATATCTTGGCCATGTTTTCATGTCAAAAATACAGTTTTTTAAAATCATTTGTAAGTATAATCTATCAAATTTAATGGTACTGTTATCAGTGATGTGGAAAATTTTATTTCCTGTATTTTTTTATATTTCCAATCCAACAGCATGTCTATAACCAATGCCAGAGAGATGAATATTTTTTTAAATCATCGATATATTTAAATAATACACTAAAATCCACAAAACTGCTCAAAGCAAATGCTTTAGAAAACTCCTAAGTGTTAAAATCATTTTTTAAACTTTTTGTGTAACATGTAAAACTACATTGAGTCAGATTATCTAAACCAGGAGTGGGCAAGGCAATTTTTGTAAACAGTATCTTACTGGAACACAGCCATTCATTTACATATCATCCATGGCTGTTTTTGCCCTACAACAGCAGAGCTGAGGAGTTAACAAAACTCCTACAAGCTCAAATTCTTACTATCTCTTCCTTTACAGAAACAGTTTGCCAACCTCAATTCTAAACAGTGCTTTCAGAGGTTAATTCCAGTCCATTCACAGAGAGCTTAAATCCAGTGTTGGATGGACAGATGAACCAACAGATACACGAGTGGACAAAGGAACACACAAACGGGGAGACAAACATTCAACTGGAGTAGTACACTCTACTTAGCAGTTCTCAGTGGCTAAACCAAAGCCACGGTCAAGAACGATGCTGATGATATGCAACAAACACGGAAAGGTAGCACAAAGGCTCTTTGCCATCAAGTCTTCCCTCCTCTGGCAGCAAGATCTGCATGCCAATAGACAAGGCTTGAAGCCAGTACACACTCTGTCTTGTGATGAGTCAGTGGTTGTCATTCAAGAGTCTTATCTTTCCCGCCTTTTAAATCACTTGCCAGCTGATTAGCAAATCCCTGGAACACACAATTCTAATGGCTGGCACACTAAAAGAAATGGGCTAGCATCTTGGCCCACTTCCTTTGGTGAAATGCTGCCAGTGAGTGACTAACTGCTTCATTGTATTAAATAAATTACCCAGAATAATAAGACCTCATTACTTTAACACGTAATTAAGGAACAACATGGCAAACAAAGCATTGTTCTCCATCAACAAGATCGTGCAGAGAATTAGATTCAAGAAGAGTCTCTTATTAAAAACAACCAAAAAAAAAAAAAAACTACTAGATTCACATAAATTTAATCCTGAGAGCAGAAGAATGAGAGTATGTTCTTTTATTTGAACTTGGCAAACAGGTCACCTAGAGGGCAAGCCATAATTCACAGGTACTCTAGTTACACTAATTTAAAAGATACTTACTCCAAGAGAAGGTTATTATTTCGAATGAGCATTCTTGCACTCCTACCCCATGACTATGTGCTTTTTGAAAGAGAACAGGTAAGAGAAGTAATAACAGAAAATTTCAGGAACTGAAGAGCCCCTATACAGTCATATTACAGATTCCTGTTTTCATAGCAGTGGGACCAACTGAGACCACTCCATTTCACCAAATGCTGATTACATTCTAATCTCGGCACTAATGAGCATTCCAGACAAACCCTTCAGCATCAGACATACATTGACAAAAATGTGTCATCCAGAAAAATAAGAAATCTTTCTAAGACCAAAATTTAAAAGATGCAATTTTTGGCTCAAATATCAGACCGAATTTTTAAAATATATGTTTTAAGCTCCACATATATGTGTCCTTTATAACTGTAAATGCACTTATATTCATATTACCTATGCGCTTACAGATTCATTGTATGAATGAGTTCATGCCTGGCCCATTTTATTGCCTATTCTCTTCCCTTTTCCCTTCTCATTTGTTCGGTCATCTTGAACACATTTTTAAAATAAGGTAGTGTCAAAATGTATATGCTATGGGCAATACACCTTTACTCATTAATAGTTATTGCCTACCCAACGTATGCAGGCATCCTACAAGATATGGGAATATGAAACTGAAAGGGGCAGTCCCTCCCTGTCTTTGACAAGCATACACTCAACTGGGAGTTATAAAGATGGAAAGACATGATCAGTAAACAAAAACATGATACGGTAGTAGGGATAAACGGCTCTAGGAAAACAGAGGGAAGCAACAATCTGGTTGTAAGAACCGAGGAAGCTTCACCACCATGGAGGCCACAACTGAGAAGAGTCTTGAAGCTAACGAGGAAATAAAGAGAGTATTCCATGTAGAAAGAAAAGCTGTATACAAAGAAATGGAGGTGTGAAGTTGTGTGTGCGTGCATCTACAAACACATGTCAACACACACTTACGTGCTGTTTCAGGTAAGAGTGAGAGCTTTAAATTATATACCCAAGTCCCTAGAAAAACCTTTTCAATTCCTTCTGGCTTTACATATTAGTAACACATGTAGAAAGTGTCTGCAAGAAAATAATAACTCACTCTTAATGATGCAAGTTTCCCTGTGAGGCACAATATTACCATTACAGAGATAATAGGGTCATTTCTCTGCCCTGGCACTAATCTACAGTAATGCTAGTTTCCTCACAAATGTGAAAGTCAGCAGGGCTTTATTCATGTTGCATTATACATGATGCAGTGATAAAACATAAATGTTCTTCTTAAAAAGAATGGAGTATATTCCTAAAATGTTACTTTATGCTGCCTGGTTACTAACAACATTGGAAATCTTCATACTCGAGAAAGTCTATCTCATTTGTCAGAATTGACAGTCTAATGGGGGAGAGTGGGCAGATCCACTCAACCAAGAACCCAATTCCCAGCCCTGTCTCTGCCTCTAACTAACTTGGTGGTCTCTGACAAAGCATTGTATTGCTTTTATGCCCTAGGAACCCGTCTGTAAACTAGGGAAAGCAGCATCTGTCTGTCTGCCCCACCACAGGGACAGAAGGAAGGCATATTAAGTTAATCACACTATGGAGGTCCTTTCAGTTCTTAGGAAGAGGACAATTTTACATTTGAAATAACTCAATGATAAAGTCATTGAAATTACAAAGAAAGTTTTCCTTCTAGGGACATTTATCCTTACTCCTGTATAAAACTCCTGTTATTTAACCATCAACCAATCTCTCTATAATACCATTGTTATTTTTCCAAATAATCTTTCAGATGAGGCTACAAATTATGGTCAGACTTTGATAATTTTCACTTCTATACAAACAATTCATTTTAATACTGATGTTAGAGATGAGAAAATATATGAACAAGAAAAGTAAGTGCAATCTCTTGTAGTAATCTTTTAAATTATTCCCCAAATACAGTTGTAATCAATTTCCCCCTCA